TGACAAATAAGTAACGTATTACCGGTCCTTAGAATGGCCGGATTTAACGTACAAAGAATAGTCAAAAATACTAGCCGAGGTCAGGGAACAGAGAAAGGGACACAGCGATGAGGAAAGCCAGGAGTCAGGATACCAGAATATAGAGAAGTCAATAAACAAAGCCAAAGTCAAAGTCAAAGTCAAAGTCAAAGTCAAAGTCAAAAACCAGGTAGAAAACTATAAACAGGAACGCACTCTCAGACAACCACAAGGGAAACCACGACAGGGCACTGAGCAGGCTGAGAACTGGGCCTAAATACCCCTCCTTTAGTTCTGATAGGCTGTAACCGGCCTTTGGCCCCAAAGTCAGTTACCAGGTTTCATTTGCATAATTGCTGCTCAGCATTAACCCTTCTGTGGATTAGGTTGCTGTTCGGCACAACTTTTCCTGTGTGGACAGTAAATGTCATTAACCACTTTTCTATAAGCGGATGAATACATGAGACCAGGTTTCATTTGCACAATTACTGCTCAGCATTAAACCTTCTGTGGATTAGGTTGCTGCTCGGCACAACTTTACCTGTGTGGACAGTAAATGTCATTAACCACATTTCTATAAGCGGATGAATACGTGACAACGATCACATGGCCCAGGGGGGCCAGAACGACAGCAGGGGGACTCCCTGGCATGGCAGGTGAGTCCCCCCACCGCGATCTCCGGAGTGGGATCGCCGGTGACCGGGTAAGTAGGACAGCTTGGGCGTTCTATGCCGCCCGCTGGCGTTTAGAGCCGGGTCCCCAAGGACGACATAGATTGCCCACCGTCCTCAAGGGGTTAATAAAGTGAGCATTCAAGGTCAAAGTAGACAAATTGGAAAAATTCTGTAAGTCAGCTATGCTTTCGATGCAGCTACTCTGGCCTTAAGTTTAAAATTCACTTCAAATTCACTTTGAACTAACTAGTGAATAACCCTGTAATTGTACAAAAGTCCCCCATACCTCCCAACTTCATAGGACACCAATGCGAGGGGTAAACGTTACATGATTTGAGTCACTGCCCAAATAGAGAACTCACCCAGAAAGGGGTGTTTTGTCCATAGAATTGACAGGTCAGTGTGTCATGCCAAGCCTGACTGTGAAAGGGGCACTTCACTGGCCAGAACATACTTCAAAACAATAGAATTCTCAATGTATCCTTCCTGGTAAAATGTTTTATAAATAAATAGAACACACACACACACACAAAAAAAAGAATAACTATTTAAAAGATATACCCCCTATAAAAAAAAAAATGCATGCATTTAATTGTGTATTGTCATTGGGGATATATCTAAAAAACTATTTGCAAAACCTGTAGATCTCCTGTCTCCAGCCTTTGCATGCCCTCCTCTTCTAACTCCGCCCACACTTTCTGTGACTGTCCAATCACAGACTTTCCCATGCAGCTCGATGTGAAGTCTTTGCAAGGCAGGAGCTCTGGGCAATTGCTGCCTCTGGAATTCAGCGTCACTCAGCTAACTAAACCAGGAAGTAACAGGACCTGTTATCTCCTTGACAGTCAGGGGGGGGGGGGGGGGGGGGGGGGGGGGGGGGGGGGGGGGGGGGGAGATTGGGGGAGGGTGTAACAAGGTTAAATTATAAAAGTGTCAGTTTCGATTGAAATCTGCACTTTTTGTAAAATAAAAACAATAGGACACCTTCTTCACACATAATTTTTTTTTTGGCATACTAAAGTGCTTCAGGGGTCTGGAGTGTCTCTTTAAGTAGGCTAGCACACCTAGGGTGGACCATGCAGGGAGCACTATTTCAGTACTTTCTGCAGGGTCCTAATGCCCTACGAGCGTGATGCGTATGCTTGTTGGAGACAGTTAACTAGAGTCCCCCAAAGCAGGACACCAGGGAATAACGTAGAAATGGCAAGACAGGATCTGAAAATCGTGACTGACCCATCAAAATTGGGATGGCTGGGAGGCCTAGTTACCATGTGTGCTACCACTGACATAAAGCAGAGTTTTGAAAAGGTGAGCAGTCTCTAATTTATTAGTGTTTAGAATACCCCAAAAACAAAACACTTACAGGTCTATTCATTAATAGTGAAAACTCAAAGTGAATTCATAGTGAATTTCAAATTTAAAGGGACACTATAGTCACCTGCACAACTTTAGCTTAATGAAGCAGTTTTGGTGTATAGAACATGCCCCTGCAGCCTCACTGCTCAATCCTCTGCCATTTAGGAGTTAAATCCCTTTGTTTATGAACCCTAGTCACACCTCCCTGCATGTGACTTGCACAGCCTTCCATAAACACTTCCTGTAAAGAGAGCCCTATTTAGGCTTTCTTTATTGCAAGTTCTGTTTAATTAAGATTTTCTTATCCCCTGCTATGTTAATAGCTTGCTAGACCCTGCAAGAGCCTCCTGTATGTGATTAAAGTTCAATTTAGAGATTGAGATACAATTATTTAAGGTAAATTACATCTGTTTGAAAGTGAAACCAGTTTTTTTTTCATGCAGGCTCTGTCAATCATAGCCAGGGAGGTGTGGCTAGGGCTGCATAAACAGAAACAAAGTGATTTAACTCCTAAATGACAGTGAATTGAGCAGTGAAATTGAAGGGGAATGATCTATACACTAAAACTGCTTTATTTAGCTAAAGTAATTTAGGTGACTATAGTGTTCCTTTAAGGCCAGAGTAGTTGACTTAGAGAATTTTTCCTTTTTGACTATTTTAGCCTTAAAATTGAAATTTACTGTGAAATCTGACTTTAGGAAACAACTAAAGAGGGAGATTTATAAAAGTGTTATGTTCTGAAACGTGGAGCAAAGATGTGAAAGGGGAAGAGTCACCAATGAAACGTGCCTGCTGGATCCACTTGTTTCCATGGTGATTGCCCCACGTTTAGCACTTTGCACCATTATCAGAGAGCAGAACTTTCGGAAATTTCTGAAAGAAAAGCTAACTATGTAAAAATAAAGCTAACAAGACTGGTCAACTTTAAGTGATCTTTTACAACATTTGTTCAACCGTAGTGTTCTCGACCGGGTATCATGCAGAGTGAGCCTGGTTTATAAGAGGCGTCATGAAACATAACTTTGAACATGAAGTTTTCCTTTGGGGGTGGGGAAGGGATGGGTTGGCACTGACTCTAAATCACCCGAGTTTGTAGGATAGCTGAGAAGTTTATAAAGTATGGCAGTCGGATTTTGGCAGTTAATGCTCAGCAATTGCAGGAAGTCATTTGGAACCATTGTGGTATCTGAATGATTTATGGACTTTTCAGGTCACATTAACTGTGCAGTTATTACACATTTAATAAACCACAGGAAACAATAATACTCCGCCGTGCTGATTCACTTTGGAAGGATAATCAACTTCTGTCACTATAGCTTCCGTGGAAAATATTTTCTATTTAATGCAAAGTATGTGCAAACCGCTCTCTGTGCAGGTATCCTTCAGTACAGAACTAGTTTATTTTGGGCCCTGGCTGGGTTTAAACCAATAGCACACTCGACCCCCATATCAGCTTTAAATTGTTTCGTTTTTAAAAACTCCGGACTAGGTAAAACAACAGAGATTTTCCCAGAGTAAAGACAATTAAAGCCACTTTGGGCGTAGTATTACCTTGCCCTCATTCAGTGGCGTCTCTAGGATTCATTTTTAGGGGGGGCACATGGTGGGCCAGGGACAAAAGTAGGGGGGCACATTTAACCCCACCCTCGCCGCAGTTTGACCCCGTCCCTGCCGCATGTTAAGTCCCGCCCCCCACACAATGTGTTGTTTTTTTTTAATAATCCCTGGTGGAGGATTCATTATTTTCCACCAGGGATTATTAAAAAACAAACATTTGCGTGCGCAGCCTATTGTATAAGGGTGTGCACCCTAAAGCAGAAACACACACGCCGCGTATATATATATATATATATATATATATATATACATATATACACACACACACACACACACACACACACTGCTGTGTGTGTGCAGGCGCTGTGTGTGAAGGCGCTGTGTGTGTGCGGGCGCTGTGTGTGTGAAGGTGCTGTGTGTGTGAAAACGCTGTGTGTGTGAAGGTGCTGTATGTGTAAGGGTGCTGTTAGTGTGTGCTGTGTGTGTGTATGTGTAAGGGTGCTGTTAGTGTGTGTGTGTGTGAGGGTGCTGTGTGTGTAAGGGTTCTGTTAGTGTGTGCTTTGTGTGTGTGGGTGAGGGTGCTGTGTGTGTAAGGGTGCTGTTAGTGTGTGCTGTGTGTAAGGGTGCTGTGTGTGTGAGAGTGCTGTTAGTGTATGTGTAAGGGTGCTGTGTGTGTAAGGGTGCTGTTAGTGTGTGCTGTGTGTAAGGGTGCTGTGTGTGTGTGTATGTGTGAGGGTGCTGTGTGTGTAAGGGTGTTGTTAGTGTGAGGGTGCTGTTAGTGTGTGTGTGCTGTGTGTGAAAGGGTGATGTATGTGTGTGTGCTGTATGTTAGTGTGTAATGTGTGGGGGTGTAGGGGCCGTTTAGTTAATATCCCCCCTCCCTTCTTACTTTGCTCCTGCCTTCCCTAGATGTCAGTGGAGAGTGAACTCTAGCCTGCAGGGCTAGAGTTTACTCTTGCGAGATCTGAGCAACGCTCTGACCGCGCGAGAGGAACCCGGCGCAGCTGCTGACAAGAGCTCCCCGGGTCCTCTCCTGCCTCCCTCCCTGCCTGTGGCCCATGGAGGGAGGCACATAGCATGTGCCGTGGCGATTAGGGTGTGCCCAGGCACACCTGGCACACCCTGTGCGCACGCCTATGGAGTGCAGACTGTGTTTAGTGAATGTAGTGTGTGTGTGTAGTGCAGAGTGTGTTTAGTGAATATAGTGTGTGTAGTGCAGAGTGTGTGCTTGTAAGGATGTAGTGTGTGTGTAAAATAGGGGGGAGGAGAGTATTTTTTTTATTTATTTGTGTATATTTCAATTTTATTCCGCCCTACCTGGTTCTTACCATGCCAGGGAGGGGGGAGATCGCATTCCCTGGTGGTCCGGTGGCATGGTGGAGCGAGCCAGCCGCATTACATTGACGAGGGGGCCCAGCAGCACACACTGTCTTCCTTTCCAGCTCCTCTCTGACTAACTCTCGCGAGACAGGTCTGCCTGCTGTGCGGAGCGTTGACATGGTTAGACAGAGAGCAGCTGGAAAGGAGGACAGAGTGTGCTGCTCGGCCCCCTCTTCAATGTACAGGTAGCAGGGGGCCCTCTGTGCACATATATATAGCAAAAATCGATATATATATATATGTGCACATAAGGAATGTGGGGCTCGGACTGCCAGAGTAGTTCGGGCCCCCCTGGACCATCGGGCCCATGACAACCTTTATGGTTGTCATGCCCTAATGGCGGTCCTGCTGCTGAGTCCATACACACACACATAGACTGCTGAGTCCATACACACACACAGACTGCTGAGTCCATATACACACACACACAAACAGACTGCTGAGTCCATACACACACACACACACACAGACTGCTGAGTCCATACACACACACACACACACACACACAGACTGCTGAGTCCATACACACAGATAGACTGCTGAGTCCATACACACACACAGATGACTGCTGAGTCCATACACACACACACACAGACTGCTGGAGTCAATATATACACACACACACACACACACAGACTGCTGAGTCCATATACACACACACAGACTGCTGAGTCCACACACACACACACACACACACACACACACAGACTGCTGAGTCCATACACACACACAGACTGCTGGAGTCCACACACACACACACACACACAGACTGCTGAGTCCTATACACACACACACACACACACACACACAGACTGCTGAGTCCATACACACACAAACACACACACAGACTGCTAAGTCCATACACACACACACACACACACACACACACACACACAGACTGCTGAGTCCATACACATACACACACACACACACAAACACACACACACACAGACTGCTGAGTCCATATACACGCTCAGACCTCAAAGGACCATGGAACGCCCTACCTGAAATGGGGGTTTGGGGGAACACAAGGTGTTGGGGTTAATTCAGCAATAAATGGAGAGGGTAGATGAACAAAAAATGATATCCATGGGGTCCCCCGCCAAATTGTTTTCTCAATAGCAGCACTGTTATCTTATGATCCTATGTTATCCTTGCTCAAAATAAATCATTAATTTAATTTGTTCACTGCTGAGGCTTTTTCAAAATTCTGGGCCTTTGTGAGATCTTTTTCTTACTTTTGCTATCGGTTTGTTTTACTGTACTTTGCCACTAAGCACACCCATACATATTATATATTGTTTATTTTAAAGGACAGGCTTTTTTTTTAATACCTTACATGTGTGCAAATATATTGGGTATAAATAAGAAAAAAAAGATATTAAAAAACTGAAAGAGAAAAAACAAACAAAAAAATTCAAACTTTTCATATTTTTATATTCATGCCTCATAATAGATTCACTTAATAGCTGAAATTGTTAAAATGCCTCATATGTCTAGGATATATATTTTTTAAAGGAACACTATAGTCACCTAAATTACTTAGGCAGTTTTAGTGTATAGATCATTCCCCTGCAATTTCACTGCTCAATTCACTGTCATTTAGGAGTTAAATCATTTTGTTTCTGTTTATGCACACCTCCCCTGGCTATGATTGACAGAGCCTGCATGAAAAATAAAACTGGTTTCACTTTCAAACAGATGTAATTTACCTTAAATAATTTTATCTCTTTCTCTGTAAATTGAACTTTAATCACATACAGGAGGCTATTGCAGGGTCTAGCAAGCTATTAACCTGGCAGGGGATAAGAAAATCTAAATTTAACAGCACTAGCAATAAAGGAAGGATAAACATTAGATGACTCTTTACAGGAAGTGTTTATGGAAGGCTGTGCAAGTCACATGCAGGGCGGCATGACAAGGGTTCATAAACAAAGTGAATGAACTCCAAAATAGCAGAGACATGAGCAGTGTGACTGCAGGGACATGATCTATACACCAAAACTACTTTGGTAAGCTAAAGTTGTTTTGGTGACTATAGTGTCTCTTTAATTAGTACTTTAGCAGATCTACAAACTTTGAATCTTTAAAGGATTTATTTAATCAGCAAAGTCAGAGGTTTTTAAAAAATATATTCTGGTGTTTTTAAACTAAAATCAGTTGTCTACACATCAGAAATTGACTGTTTAGCAAATTTGCCCCTACATCTTATTTGAGTTCTACTCTCCTGCTCTGGTTTGCCGTAGATTCTGAAATATGCACCAGAACCCAAGAGGTTTATTCACTAAAAATCTAATTTCTACGTGTAAAATTCCATCTAAATTAGCCGTGCTATGATTACAGCGTAATTCTAGAATTTTTCGAAATCTATTTTTGTTGTCAAAAAACTTTGCCATTTGATTTCAATTTACTACAGTTTGGAGTTTTTTGAGTAAAACTCTTAAGTTTCCAGCAAGTTACGCAGAGCCAGAAAAAAAAAATACCACAAAGTGCACAACCAGAGATTTCTGCAGGTGTGCTATGGCTGCGACACAGCTGTGTTATTACAGCACAATGAGAGCCTTACATTGGGGGAAAAAAACAGCAGCGGTCCCTGAGACTACATCAAAGCCCTGGAATCAGCCACAACTCCTCAGCCTCTTTCAATAAAAAGTCAATTTTATCCTTTCTTTTGAAGCTCGGATACTGAAAGGCTATAATGTCATTTATGATGTTCTACCTCAGATGAGACCATTACACAGTATTGCTGTGAATTTGCGAGCTGAGCCCTTGGTGTGTAGAGGGAGATGAGGAACGCGTGACGCAGGCAGGTTGGTAATTATTGAGATCATGATATATGAAAGACTGCAAGTGGCGCGCGTTGACATCTTTTGTGATTTTATCTTGTAAAGATTATCTACATCATAAAGAATCTTAGCTTTAGTTTTCCGACAGCTCTATGCTATGATTTTTGTACCATAACTGCAGGCGTTTACGGCACACTCATTACGGCGCACTTTATTCTAGCACGCAAAACGATGATAAATTAGAAGCAAGTGTCCAAACTTTGTGTCCTTGGGGCTTATTCACTAGAATCTAGAATGTAGCAAATCGAAGTCCAAATGGCAAAATGTAGGCTAAAATATTTGATCTGGAAAAATTCTCCAAATCAGATAGGCTAATTTTTTTTTTCAAATGTTTCTTATTAAAGAATTGCACGCATGTAAAATACAAATATGCAATTAATGTAATAAATGTCTTATTGAACAGACAACTTCAATTAGTAGATACTTGTAGACATGTATTCCTGACCCTACAGGGTTAAAACCACCATCTAGCCCCCCTGCCCCCATCATGCCTCCCTTAATATAGTAAAATAATACTTGTTCAAGCCTGAAGCTGCTGGCTTTGTTCCTGTTTCTTTTAGACCTGCCCACTGCCTGCTGACATCAGCAGAAGTGGTAGCCAGATCCAATCACAGTGCTTCCCCATAGGATTGGCTGAGACTGACAAAGAGGCAGATCAGGGGCAGAGCCAAGACGAATCAAACACAGCCCTGGCCAATCAGCATCTCCTCATAGAGATGAATTGAATCAATGTAACTCTATGAGGAAAGTTCAATGTCTGCATGCAGAGGGAGGAGATACGGAATGTTTGGATGCATTTTAGGCAGCCATGACCCAGGAAGGATCTCTAACAGCTATCCGAGGAGTGGCCAGTGAAGTTATCAGTAGGCTTTTCTCTGAAAAGACAGTTTTACAGCAAAAAGCCTGAAGGTAATGATTCTACTCACCAGAACAAATTCAATAAGCTGTAAGTTGTTCTGGTGACTATAGTGTCCCTTTAAGATGATTTAATAATGTAAAAGAATGAGTTAGCTAGAAAGGTAGACATTTTTCCATGCTAATATTTATTTAATATGCAGTTTTGTTTTTTTAAACAAAAAAAATACATTATTTTTATTCCTGTATGCCAAGTTATTGTCTATAGGCTCAGGCTAGGGTTAAATAGATAAATTATCAGGCATTTTGGATCCAGAGTACAATCTTGGGATACTTTATCCACCATCCACCAACCACAAAGGGATCTGTCAAATCCAACAGCCACTGTAAAACTGGTGGCCACCCAAGCATGTTCACCCAAAGGGAACCACTGTGTAAATTTACAGGAACACTCCAAACACCATAAACAATACAGCACACTCTCGTGCAAGGGATCCCAATAAATTTTTGTATCTGTGTTTGTATGTGCCAGTGTGTGTATCTGTGTGTCAATGTGTATCTGTGTGTGTATGTATCTGACACACAAATACACTGGCATAGTGGCACAGTGTGTATCTGTGTTTGTATGTGCCAGTGCGTGTCTGTGTCTCAAGGTGTGTGTATCTGTGTTTGTATGTGCCAATGTGAGTATCTGTGTGTCAGTGTGTATGAATCTGACACACAGATACACACACACTGGCACATAATAGCACACAGATACACACACTGACACACAGATACACACACCTTAACACACAGTATGTATCTGTGTGTGTGTGTGCATGTATCTGTGTGTCAAGGTGTGTGTAGCTACGTGTTAAAGTATGTGTATCTGTGTTTGTATGTGCCGGTGTGTGTCAAGGTGTGTGTATCTGTGTTTCTGTGTGTCAGTGGGTATCTCTGTGTGTGTGTGTGTGTGTGTGTATGTATATGTATATGACACACAGATACACACACACTGGCACATAGTGGCACACAGATACACACACTGACATACAGACACATATACCTTGACACACATACACATACACACTCAGATACACATACACACACTCAGATGTACACAGTGACACATACACACACTTGCACCCACAAATACACACACTGGCACATACACACACTCAGATAGACACATTGACACATACACACACTGACACACACTCAGATACACACACACTCACACACACACAAATAGGCACATACAAACACACTGATATTCACTGGCACATACACACCCACCAATACACACATACTGACATACACACACACACACACTCCGATACACACAGTGACATATACACACACTTGCACCCACAGATACACACACTGGCACATACACACACTCAGATACACACATAAACACATACACACTGACACACAATCAGATACACACACTGACATACACACATAGGCACATACAATCACACTGATATACACACACAC